AAAATTGCACTGAGATGCCAAAGTAATGTACGCTGTAAGTATTTGCTAATGTCATAGCATGTATATTGAAATTCTTCAAATGAGATTAAAGGAATTAATTTATGGCTAATCTGTAATTTTCTGTGCTCTTACTATGTTTCACTTCTTTATCACTCAAGAAGAAAATTAAATTTAATTTGTTTTCTGGATTCAGGCCAATTATGAAATATTTCAGTCCAAAAGAGTAACTTTGTCTCCCTCCAATATGGTCAGCAAAACCAGTTCTGTAATAGTTAAAATGTTCCCTGCCACAACTATTTTATAACATGGTTTGAGTGAAAAAGGAAAACTCTATAGACATATGTTAGCTATTAGATAATGCAAGTGGAGAGTGAGAAACATATGCACTGTGAAATGTGCATATTCATATAATGAATCAGGTATAAATACATCCAAGTAGTCTTGCCTAATAAAAAATGCCCTGTACTTTATGATACCACAAATTAGGGTTTCATTTCTGTAAATAAACATGTTAGTGTAACTATTTACTTCAGGTGAGAACCCTTTGGGTGTATGAAATTCTGTGAGGTTCCATTTGTGTGTTCTCTTAATCTTGTTTTTTAACTGTTGAATGCTCTTACTGTATACAGTAAGTCACTGGTGTATCTTCCCCAGGATGAAATGTATTTCAGCAGAAAAATAATCCCATATGTAGTCAGTAGCTTCCAAAAGGTCCTTACATATATGTTTCATGTTAAAGTAATGTAAATAAGTGTGCACTTAGGAGATAATGTTTTTGTAATAAATCTCTTACCGTATCTTAAATTGTTTCAATAGATTTCATGGGGACCAGGAGTGCTATTACCAGGATGACCTGCGTGTATTATCTAGCTTAACCAAAAAAGAACATATGAAAGGTAACGAGACCATGCTGGATTTCCGAACAAGCAAGTTTGTGCTGCGTATTTCTCGTGACTCCTACCAGCTCTTGAAGAGGCATCTTCAGGAAAAGCAGAACAATCAGATCTGGAACATTGTTCAGGAACATCTTTACATTGATATCTTTGATGGAATGCCTCGCAGTAAACAACAGATAGATGCTATGGTTGGAAGCTTGGCTGGGGAGGCAAAACGAGAGGCTAATAAAGCAAAGGTAGGAGGCAAAGATTGTTGCACTTTTATAATTGAACAGTTCTCCCTAGTTTTTCAGGGAGATACCTTAGTATAGACTGACAGTTGTCACTTGAGATCTTAAAAAACAGCATGAACAGAACAAAGGAAAAGAACTATACAAATAGTTGTTGGCAAGAGTAGAGAGATCAAGATGTGTCGCTGTCTGGTAGAAGAAACCGTTGAACCCCTTTGAGAGACAGCCTTGTATTCAGCCCACTGAACTGAACTTAAACTAACTCATGAATTACTCTGTGGTTTTAAAATTGACACCTTGGCTTCCTCTTTCTAACAGCAGGTGTAATTCGTACTTACTGCCAGTTCTTGCTGCAAGGGCTGTTTGTGTAGATCTTGACAGTGTAGTACCACAGTACTATACAGATAACTTATGTAAGCTGTAGGGATTCTACTTTAAGGAAGTGCTCGGAGATGGTGGGAGAACTTAAGAGTTGTCCAGATCAGTTGCTGGGTAAAACAGCAGAACATGTACTACGTTTGTTATGGGCTAACCAGTAATATATGCAGTAATATTAAACATAGCAGTTTTAAAGGGGCAGCTCTATTGCTTGGACTATTACGTTGAAAAGTTTCCATTAAAAAAATTAGTTTTCAATAAGAACAGCAATTACTGTTTTGTCTCGTGTGTTTTATTGGCTTGCAGGTTTTCTTTGGCTTATTGAAAGAACCAGAGTTTGATGTGCCTTTGGATGATGAAGATGAAGAAGGAGAAAATGAGGAAGGAAAGCCAAAGAAGAAAAAACCTAAAAAAGATAGTGTAGGGTCAAAAAGTAAAAAACAAGATCCTAATGCTCCTCCCCAAAACAGGTACCAAGGAAACGATGTGTAGAGAAGTCTTGTTAAATCCAGTCTTGTCATGCCAATTCTGCATCGCTGTTCACGTGACATTTCTAGCATTTTGGCCATTTCGGCTGTACACAGCTTTAGCCGTAAGACTTCTGAGGGAGGTAATGGAAAGCTTAGCATATAACCCTCTGTCTTTGCCCTTCAAGTCAATCTAGATTTCGCTTGATAAAATTTTACTCAGTTACCCACTAATCTTTGCAGGTCGTACTCAATTATTTATCTTGTTCCACTGCCTGTCTGAAATTCTTAAAGTTCCTGGCTCTTTTTGTCATCAGTTAATCTTCTACATAGTCTTTCATTTTTTCTAATTCTTGTTTCGTATTTGACTATTGAGGTATAGGATTGCATGCGAAGGTTTCGCTTTCTTTGTTTAGATTAACAATATGGAAGGTGCTTTTAGTTCGTAAAAATGTGTTTCTTGTAGAATTCCTCTGCCTGAACTGAAAGACTCTGACAAGCTGGATAAAGTAATGAATATGAAGGAAGCTGCAAGGCGTGTGCGTCTTGGCCCCGAGTGCCTGCCCTCCATCTGTTTCTACACGTTCCTTAATGCTTACCAGGTTGGTAAAAGAAGAGTTTGGGTAATATGGAAAAGGGAATCAAAATTATAAACCTCACTCTTAATGAAGACAGAAGACTTAACAGCACTGGCAAGGGTTATTGGAGTATTTGGAAAAAGCGTTGCAAAGTTTTTGTTCCAAAATGTTTAAAATTCTCTTTAAAGACTGCTTCAACTATATAATTTCTACGTTCCTTGCTTTTGCTCTGATTTTGCCATAATTCCTTCTTTTGCTTTTCCTGTGGGGCCCTAAGTGTCTTCTACAGATGTTTTGCACCAAAATACTGGAAAACAGTACTGTTTTGTCACTATTGACTGGGCTTCATTCATATAGCTTTATTTTTAATGGTGCAAGAATTTATGTGTCTTTATGTCTATGCTAGAATAATTCCCTCTTACTTTTGTAAATAAGTTGAATTAATTTTCTTATTAGTACTTAGGATTTTGTAATATTTGAAATGCATCATGAAAGATACAAACAATATAAATGGATATTTTGTGTATAGGGTCTGACTGCAGTGGATATTACAGATGATTCTAGCATGATTGTAGGAGGCTTTGCTGACTCTACTGTCAGAGTGTGGTCCGTGACTCCAAAAAAGCTACGTAGTGTGAAAACAGCAGCAGGTAATTAAGACAACACTTAATATGAGCATGCATTACTTGACAGCTGTGTTTTGCGTGAACAGAGAAAGATGTCTGTGGCAGGAGGGTTGTCTTCAGCAGCTAGACGCTTTCACTTTGAAGAAACAATATGTGCACAGATGTATGATCGCATCTTACATACTACCATTAGAAACATTTTTAAAGGAATGAGAAATCTGGTTGTGTACACCTGCTGGGAGGTGGTCAGTGCATGGAGCTTGGAACTAGCCGTAACTGGTGTGGAAGTAGCCATCTTGCTTCTTAACTGGATGGTAACTACAGGGTGTAGTAGACAGTTGGGTTTAGGTGATTTAGGGGAGAGACTAGAGGTACCCTGGGGAAATTATAGGAGGGAGGAGAATGTGCTGTAGCTCAACACCTACGCAAATTCATGGAAACCAGGCTTCTTTAATTCTGCTCTTTATGTAACAATGTGTTGCAGTTGAAGCTAGATACCACGCAAACGTTTCTTAATCTTGATATTTAACTGAGATGTGGTCATGATGTTCAGCAAACAGTAGCCTACAGACTAGAAGTTATTTTAAGTTGTGTGTAGTGAGCAGCTGTCAAAACATGTCTGTAAAGCGTGTTTGTGGCATATTAACTTCCTGGGAAAAGGCGTGAAAATTTGGCATCTCTATCAAGATGTTATTGTGTTTGGAGGCTGAACAATGTATGTATGAAAAATAACACACGTCAGGATTAATTTATTTTAACTCAGTGAAGACTTAAGAAACAGTGATTATTTATGTAAAGCATTTCACCTTTTACAATGGTAAAAACATATTTTAAATGCCATTGTATATTTCAAACTTAACAATTCCCTGGTACTTTATCATGTTCACATCATACTTGCCTCTTTTAGAGAGAATATTATTTGTTTTCCTGTTCATGGCATTTATCTTTGAACTTCTGACAGTTACTGTGATACATGAACTTTGAAATATTGCAGACCTCAGTCTCATCGACAAAGAATCAGACGATGTCTTGGAGAGGATCATGGATGAGAAAACAGCAAGTGAGTTGAAGATTTTATATGGTCACAGTGGACCTGTCTATGGCACCAGCTTCAGTCCTGATAGGTAAAATAAGTTTACAAGCTAACTAGTTTGCTTGTCTTGAGTTTTAATTGTATGCTACTGAATGCAAACATGTTCTTAATGCAGCTTTTTCCGGAAGGTTAAAGCAGTTCTTGCTTATGCAGCTTATAAGAACCTATGTGCGAGTGTAAGTGCTCATTATGCTCAGGGTGTTGGGCACTGTCGGCTAGTACTGAAATCAACTGGAGCTGAGGATGCCAGCATCTTTTTTGAGGCTCAGGACTTAGATGGCAAAATAGACAATCTTTTTTTTTTTTCCCCCCCAAACTGTAATTTAAGCTGGGTTTTAACTAACTGAATTGTAGAGAGGAAAAATATTGCAGCATTGATTTCACTTATAGAACTGCAAAACATAAAACCTGACTGAGTAGCATATCGTTGCACTTCTTCAAGTTTCTCATATTCTATTGAGACTTTATTTTCAAAATATATAGAATAGTATCTTTAAAATAAGAGATTTAAAACCATTATGTAATTATGAGAGTCTGGATGGTAGAAAGGAGGTTTAAATGTCTGAAGTTTTGCTTTTGCATGTGTCTAGTCAGGAAACAGCCATCACAGAAACACAGCTGAGAAGTAAACTGTGTGGAACATGAATATAGAGTCTGTAATTATGACCTGAGAATGTGAACATGATATGAATTCTCTTTCAGGGAATCCTGAAATTTTGTTTAGAGTTATATTAAAAGATTTTTATTTTTTTTAAAGTAACACAGCATAGCAGTATACTAGCCATTTCTTCATATAACTGGAATTCCTGAGTAAAGACCAGCTCTGTGGTTTTTTAAATTTTTTTTCTCCCCATAGTATTGCTGTAAGTGTCATCAGAATTAGTCATCAACGTCCAATTGTCTCTCTCTTGCATAAGGGCCTAGGACTAGATTCTGTTTGAATTGATTATTGTTGCTTACCCCACTAAAATGCTGATTTATATGAGACATGCTAAACAGATGCTGTTCAGTGGACAGTTTTTCTTATCATAGACATCTCACGGTGTTTATGCAATAGTTATAAAGTCCGTGTGTAAGTTTTTGATATGTAATGTGCTATACTTTCTCCTGTGACAGGAACTATCTGTTGTCCTGTTCTGAGGATGGCACCGTCAGACTGTGGAGTCTCCAAACATTCACATGTTTGGTGGGATATAAAGGACACAACTATCCAGTATGGGATACACAATTCTCTCCTTATGGTTATTACTTTGTGTCAGGGGGACACGACAGAGTGGCTCGGTAAGAAACTGGATGGGTTTTTTTACTTGTCTGGGTCAGTTTGTGGTGGATTAATCCTGAAAGTGATTAGCTGATATACTCTAGCCTACCTTATTACTGGAAATAAATTTTATTTCATGTCAATTAAAATACTGAACAAATGTTTTAATGTATGTTTTTTTTTCTTTTCAACACACATCAGATTATCTGACAACTAAAGAGATGCTGTCCTCTTATATGACCATCTGATTAGAAGTATTCTCTTCCAGTTGTTTAACAACTTGATGGAATGTTCTTTATTTCTCCCTTCTGAAAATTATACTTTTCCAAAACAGATCCTGCTAATTCAATAAGCTGACCAGTAAGAAACCACTGCATAATTACTTCCTTTTATTCCTCGTTGTGCAACAGATACTGAACTTCGTTAGGGTTCTTTTTATTAATAAAGCTTTTCTTTTTAGCCTGTGGGCAACGGATCACTACCAGCCTTTACGGATATTTGCTGGCCATCTTGCTGATGTGACATGTACCCGATTTCATCCAAACTCCAACTATATTGCCACGGGCTCAGCAGACAGGACTATACGGCTCTGGGATGTTTTGAATGGGAATTGTGTAAGAATATTCACTGGACATAAGGTAAGGGCCTATCGCTCACAATGTGAAAGTGACTTTATTTCTGTGATGAGATTCTGAAGAGTAGCGTTCAGAACGAATACGGCTTGACTGACTGAATGAGAGTAGACTTACATTAACTTGTTTGGTCCCCCCCAAATGTCTGTTTTAGGGACCAATTCATTCATTGGCGTTTTCTCCTAATGGACGATTCCTGGCTACTGGTGCAACAGATGGAAGAGTTCTGCTGTGGGATATTGGACATGGCTTGATGGTTGGAGAATTGAAAGGGCACACTGACACTGTCTACGCGCTCAGATTCAGTAGAGATGGGGAGATTTTAGCATCAGGTAAAATTCATTGGAAACAGTGAAGTTTCCATTGTCTTCCATGAGTCTGAAGAGAAACGATATAATTGGTTCCTTAAATTGAGGAAGACAAAGTAGAATCACTTGCTTAGCAAAAGCAGCAACTTAAAACTGCTGGTACAAGGCAAGTACTTCACCGGACTGTGAAGAATGACCCCTCACTCTTCCAGGAACTGAAGGAAGGGTGTTACGCAGTTAGATAATAGTGACGGTTGGGATCTGTGTACAGTGTTGGGGGTGGAATCTGAAGTTAGAAATAACTCTAGGGCAGACAAGAAGTGGCTGGACTGGAGAAGCGCAGGATACTGGAATGAGAGTGGGACATGCGGCAGGACTAAAAAGAAGAGAGAGGAAAGGATAGAAAGGAAGACGAGCTATCCACACCCTTACTATTTCTTCATGGTAGACTTTTGATACAGAAATGTGTGTGTGATATTAACAATCAGGTCTATGAGCAGCAGAACTTGTGAAGCGTGCTTGTTTTTCCTGCCTGTCCACATAGGTTCTCTGGTGCCTGATACAGCAGAGCTCCTTTGCCAGTTTTACCTCCATGGAGGCTCAAAGTTTTCTCTCTTCATGTTTAGTGAACTGTTTTCTTAAAAAGTATAGGAATTTAATGAATTTGAAACTTGTTCTATTCTGTCAACTGGTTGAAATGAGCCAACAAATTCAAGTTACTGACAGAAGAAATGATGGACAGACACTGTAATTACATAAGGGTAATTTCTTCATGAAACCAGGCTAGAAATAGTCTGGATTTATTTAGTAGTATGTTCCTAAATGCAGTGCAGTGAGAATCCTCGGTGGGCCACTACTACAGGAGCAAAAGCTAACAGACAGGGTACAGGTTTGATCCAGCCTGCAGGGATCAATTTATCTACCAACGTGCCAGTGAAAGCACAGGCCACTGCGCCTGCAAAATTCTGCTGTCTTCCCTGTATCAAAGAAACTGTTATTATGTGACTTAGAATCATAAACATTTCCTGAAATTGGCATCTAGCCCACAGGATGGTCCTGCTTTTTCAGTGCTAGGTGATATAATCCAAACCCAAATGTTTTGAGAGAGTAGTTCTTTGTGCTTTATCCACAGGGCATTCAGGTTAGATTACAGGAAAGCTGAAATCCTGGTAGCTTTTATGTGTGCATTCAGTATGTTAGAAGCTTGTTAAAGTCTGTTTCCTTGCAGGATGAGGGCATAAGTCTACAGTTATGAGCAAACATGCTTTTCTGAACTTTTAATTTCTGTTAACTTTCTCCACAGTAACCTTTTTTATACACCTTTTTTCTTAATAAAAGACTTCAAACTGTTGTTCTTTTTTCTTTTTAGGTTCAATGGATAACACAGTTCGTCTGTGGGATGCTGTGAAGGCATTTGAAGATTTAGAAACCGATGACTTTACTACAGCCACTGGACATATAAACTTGCCTGAAAACTCACAGGACTTGTTACTAGGTACATACATGACCAAATCAACCCCGGTTGTACACCTCCATTTTACACGAAGAAACTTGCTGCTGGCTGCAGGAGCCTACAGTTCACAGTAAATCGGGAAGCTGTAAGCCTGACTGTGCCAAGTCATTGCAGTAGTGACCTCAGGATGCAAGACGAGGAGGAATGTCTTGTACAGGTGGATCCCACTAGTCTGTTGCAGGAAAAACGAAACTACGTAAACTAATGCCAAGCAGCGTTTCTCAGTTCTGCTGTTTCATATTTATCCACAGTTTGAAAATGCTGGAGATTGACAAGACATCGTGGCTGTAAAAGAAGGAATTGTTCATGGTGCTTCTGATAAAAAAAAAAAAAATATATATGTGTATATGAAAATGGCTGTCTCCTCTCAGAGATGGTATTGAGCTCTGCTGAAACTTGTGGAAAGTTAACAGCCTTGGTATGTGTTCTCAAATGATTTTTTTAAAGCACTTAATTTATGGTTAGCAAATGTTTAATCAGCCTCAAGCACAAGCAAGAACTGTTCAGTTTCGGAGAAGAATGTAGTTTAATTCACTATAGCCTGCGCTGGGCAACAGGAACGGTGAGAGCATCACAGCAACAAACAAGGCATTGAAAGAGTAGATCCTACAGGCAGAGGCTTGTGGGGAAATGCCACGAAGTTACATGTGTGGGTTTTATGCATCCAAATGCTAAGTCCTGAAAAGATTTCAAACTTCCGTGCTCTTTTGAGGTATCAGAAACACAGATCTTGTTATTCTGTTTTCACAGGTAGCCAATGCTGTAAGTGAGATAGGCAACTAGAAGTGCAATGTGAACTTTGTTTACTTTCATACTTTATTGTATGGAGGAAAAAAAAAGGGGGGAGGGGACACTGACGGACAATTGAAATGCCCATTATTAAAAAAAGTGGACTTAAACCCTTTTACATTGTATTAGATCTAGAAGAACTTCACAAACTTGTGTCCTTTCTGCATAAGGTTTAATATATCAAACTGTAAAACTAGCCAAGACATTGAAACATTATTGCAGAGTACAAGGATTGATCAGTCCTAAGTGTCAGTTTGCTTTTGAAAGGCCAGCTTGTCTGCTGAAGTGACAATTTCCACCCATGGAAACATTACACCCCAGTATGTCCTCCTGGCAACCAATAAAGCTGTGCTTTATTTCTAAGGAAGAGTAAAACATGCAAAATGCTGGGAGGTATAACTTCTTTGTAGGTCTTTGAACAGAAAACACCACCACCAAAGGACAGGCCTAGTTTGGTGGCTCGTTTGTTTTTGTTTTGGTTTTTTTGTTGTACGTTTTTGTTGTGTGGTTGTTTTTGTTTTTTAAGTCTCTTACAAGTGGTATACAGGGAACTCTGTTTTGCATTCCTCATTACTTCCAGTAAGGGCTTGGACACTTGAACAATCTGCTGGCTCTCTAGTGAAAATAAAAACAAGACTTGACATTTCGAAGGTAAATGGAGAGCTACCTCCCCTCTCATCCTTTCTCCGACTCTTACTCTTCGAGTAAAGGTACATTACAGGCATTATACATCAAAATAAAGTGGAAAATTCATTAGGAAGCTCACCTGGAAATTTTCTTTAAAGAAAAAAGGTTAAAACTAAATTATTTTGGATTTTTTTTGTGTAATGGTGCCTCAACAAAATTTCCTAGCTCTCAATATGACCAGTTGGATTTAAGTACAGTTATGGTGACTCAAACAAGTTACCTAAAACAAAGCATGTACAGTTTTGACAGCTTAAAGAAAACACTGCCACATTCTGCCTTTGTATTTTGTACAGTTTTATACTTTTGATATTATAATAAATACTAAAACCACATAGTTTGTGTCTATATGTTACAAGAAGGTATTTTCTTCCCTTGATGGCTGCAATGGAAGCAAGAGCAGTGCTTGTAAGGGTGAGCACTCTGCTAAGAGAGAAAGTAATTCAGAAATGGTAAGTTGATGACTAGCCATCTCACATAAAGCTCGTTCTAAAGGTAAGTGATGGGTTCCAGCTAATTAGATCTATTACACTGTTACAACCACCACTACTCATCTGGAAAGTTGTATACAGCAGAGGCCATTTATGCAAACAAACTCATAGGAGAGGAAGACGACTAGATTTATTCACAAGGCCCAGCATGTACAAATGGCTTTAAGATACATGAACTAGAGTGGGAGAGCACAAAGACCCTGTAATTTATCCCTCCTTTTTTTTTCCAAGCAACCCTGCCTACCTCCTGCTGCCCTCTGTTTGGGAAGTATATTTACATCCTTTAGCATCAGAAGTCCCGGGTTCAACCCCTGCTGCTGGCACCCTTCCAAGAAGCAGGGTGCCATATAATCACATTCGCACATCAGCACTAATGTGACATCTAAGGAAGGTACTGAGTGTTAATTGAGATACAGAAAGACACTGCGGAGAACATGATTGATGGACAAGTTTTAGTGTTGGGCAGGTAGGGGGCTGAATATACCTAACTGGTAGGAACACCTTATTTATTAAGAGGCTATATCCAAGAAAAATAAGTACTGAACTACTTAAGTCACTGTTCATGAACATGCAGACTTGTAAGGGCTTAACATCAGCAAAGCAAGCCATTTTCTTTCTGGCAGTTACCTCCGCAAGAGAGGCCAGTAACAGAAAAAGCTCAAATACCATAATTTGATCAGTCTACTTTGGGAGGTTTTCCATCAAAACCAAACAGGTTCTATGCAAAATACAGACAACTGAGGCAGAAGTTGTAATCTGCATTGTATTAATAGCGAAGAAGTCACTGTTTCCATGTAAACTACTAGCCTGGAATGCAAAAAATGGGAGCAACTAGGTCACTGCAAACCATGTAAGCATACTGTTATCCGCTATGACGTGGAAGCGTGGAGATGCTTTGATCAGCTGTAAGCTCTGTGCCTGTATTATGGTCATGCTGCTGAGGTGTTTCCTAGGTTACTACCAGGTGCTCAGAACACTTCAGGATGTGTTAAAACAGCAGAAGAGTTTAGTTAAGATAGTAATGACAGGAATCAGCTACTCCATCTCCACTACAAATAACTTTTTGACAGAGGGGGAAAAAAAAAAGCAAAGTGCCACATTTATGCTTTGTTGCACCATTTCATATTTCCAATAAAACAAGTAATTATTTGTATTTTATTAGCCACAACAGGTCGTCAGCTTGCATTACATTGACACAGATTGGAGGTTCAGACTTGCCAGCAACCTGCCAAGAGAAGAGAGATCAAACATAGCAAGTCTTGCACAGTGGTACTAGCACCTGAGCATCCCCCTTCCCCAAGCCCAAACAATTTTAATTATGAGCAGGCAAATTTCAGCACACCCAGGAAGAAACAGCTGATGTCCCTTTAACATACAGCAACGATGCTCAAGCTTATTGTTTTCTACCCATTTTTGCAGACTATGAAGACAGCCCATAGATTTTTTTCAAAATGCCATTTCAGTGGGAATTTTGTATTTGAAAGTGACTCTAGAATTTTGTAACACTTGGTTGTTGCTATACAAGAACAAGTCCAATCACTTCTATATGGGTCTTGCATAATCAGGTGTACAATATATACAGTTCCATTGTATGGTGCTCCTTTTCTCTGTTCAAAGAAGGTTTTAACAGACTGCATTAATTTCTGCTTGGAATTCTCCAGTACAACTAAGAAATAAGTCCTCAAGTACTACTTTATTATTTCAATAACCTACAAAGCAACAGTTATCCCTATTTTACAGCAAAAGGGCAGACCAGAGGCACCTAACAGTTGCAGGCAAAGCCTGATATACCTAGCTGCAACATCCGTCCATTCCTCCTTCCTCTCTTACTCTTTGTCCCTCATCCCATTTACCATGTCAGAAGAACAAAAAGAATACTGGTATCCCATACTTTCTGCATCCCCCATTAACAACCTACTTCATTGAGAATGCCCCCAAATAAGCTGATGCTATAGTTTAGTTGAGGTTTAAAATAATAAATAAAGTTCACATGCCTGTATTTCTCTCTTGTCTCTAATTATATTGCATTATTAGCAACTTGTCCTTCGTCACTCTTTCTTCCTGGGCTGGCACTGAATCATTCTGGTCCTGGAAGAACCCCAGCCACTTACCATTTACTTATCTGCCACAGCAGGAGTTTTCTTTTTAGGTCTAAGCTTGAAATACAAGATGATCATTGCAACGCCTGTGTATGTTGCTATTACATACTGGAAAACATAAAAGTTAAGTTTAGTTTCATTCTAAAACCCAGAAAACACCATTATACTAGACTACAAAAGTTAATATACATAATACATACATTCCTCCTGCCTGTGATGGTATAGGAATTGAAGTACTTCTGAAATCCAGTGAACTGGTGTTGAGATCCCGAGTCATGGCCAGCCATGGCTGCTTGTCCTCTAACAAGCAATACAGGACAATTAACAAGTTTTACAGTCAGTTGGGCAGGATCAATAGAAAAATTAAACTAATGTCTACACTGAACTTAATACTTCCATTGTCAGCTATTAAATCTGCTTTCAGGACATTCAACAGACAGTGGATACACATAAGGAGCAGGCACATTCAGAGCACTGTATCTTAAGGTACAAAACAGGTGACACAAGAGCAGACAAGGAAATGAGAGGTTCCGAAGGGAAGAACATTTATGATTTTCAGCATTCATTCAACCGAATTTAAACATGGGGGAAAAAAAAGTCAATATGATGATGATGGCAGAAGGGAAAATTCCTAGAAGCACTTATAAAGAAGAGACCTGCCAGTCCTGCCTACGCAACCATTCAACACAGGCAAATTTCTACCAATTGTTCAGGAATCTGCAATACCTAATTAAGATAAATCTTCACTAGTTCAGCTAAGAAACAGCTTCAATTACATACCCCAGAACTTGTTGACAAGATTCAGACTAGACCACTGCTCTGTTTTGTGATTCAAAATGCTGCTTTACAATTTTTCCCGCCATATTAGAGTGCAAGTTTTGTTAATAAGAACTGCCCTGCTCTCAGTTGCACATTTCTATTGTATCTTATTTGCCCACTCTAGTATTCACAGATCTATATAGAAAATATACTTTTTTTTCCCAGTTGGTTTTCAGCTAGACCAGCAAGCTACTTGAGCCAGCTACAAAGCCTCAGAAGCTTTCACAGGAACAACAAAAACATTAAGTACCCGAGGGCACATTTTTGTATTTTGTCTGCGTCTGGACCAAAGTTTCAGGTCTACTGTATGAAGTTCATTAACACAAAAGCCTGGCTTGCCTACAGGTTCACTGAATGGTTCAGGTTGGCACCTCTGGAGATCGCATAGCTCAACCCCAACCTGCTCAAAGCAGGGGGAGCTACAACAGGTCACTCGGGAACACGCCCCACCAGGTTTTTAATATCTTCAGAGATGGAGTCTCCACAACTGCTCTGGGCAACCTGTTCCAGTCTTTGATCACCCTTATAATAAAAGGGATTTTCTTTTTAGTATTTAGAGATATATTTTTCTAATGTTTAAGGGGTTTTTATGCTTAGGACAAACATTTATCTTGTAACTCACCTCAAAAGAAGCACACATGCCATACAGTTACCTACCAAATGAGGCAGATACTGTAGCCACCAGTGCCACAGAAGAGGGACACGAGAAACTGCTATAGCAGGTGCTATGTTTCCTAATACAGTTCTTATGTCAACCCAATCCAGTAACGTATCTCTGGTGTATAATCAGGTAAGCATGCCTGTAACTGGACTGACCGCAATAGCTAAAAAACCTAACGAAATAACCCCCCCCAATCATCTGCCGTACGTGACTTGAAAAGCCAAGGTCATCTTTTCT